CTTTGAGATTCGTATTATATTCTGAACATCAGCCAACCTTGCAGACTGCCTTACAGCCTTCCCTTTTAAAATAGGTTATTAGTTTGTAGGTTTCTAAGCTGTTCCACTTGGGTTTGTGGTAAAACTCATGGTTCCTTGGACAGCCTGTGGATTATAATCCCCTTCCATTCGTTGCTGCTTGCTACCCCATAATTAGAATGATATTAGCACTGTGTGTTCATGCTGTTATCTGGTCACATCCAGAGATATGTTTCCTAAAACAATTTTTTTTTTTTCCTTCTCAGTGAAGTAGAATTGCTGCTTGCCAGTGAGGTTCTACTTTAAGTGTCCTTTCAGCTCTGGTTTGGTTTTTGGGTTCTCTTTAGTAGTTTGTGCTTGGGTTGTTCCTTTTCTTTATTTAGGAAAGAACTATCCAGTAAGCATCATTGCATAAACAAAAGATCTTATCCCTTGTAAAAACACATCTCAAACCAGAAGGAAACTGTTGTTGTGCTGTATTCACTTTGGCTTTTCTCTGGCCTTCCTTGAATGCATGAGGAGGATGTTAACTATTCTGTTTAGACTGTTTTATCTGAGCTCTCTTTCTGTTACTTAGCTGTAAGAAGTTGAGAAGTTGATGTGAATGTCTTTACAGTATTTTAGCTTCTTTCCTGGTTTTGGAAGTTGCGACATTTCATAACAGCTTTTGCAGTTTAGGTTGGGGCTTATCCAGGAATCTCTAAGTTAGCAAAGATTCCTTAGACTGTGAAGAGCATGTGCAGAAGATGCTAGATGATGAGCTTAAGTATGCATTTTAAACCAAGGGCAACTGGTAAGCAACCCAGTAGGGCAAGTACTAAAGGATCCTCTATTTCTGTCTTAGTGTCTAGTTCTGTGCTGTGTGTTGTCTTTCAATATCATACAACCTGATAATCCTCTCTGATACATTTAACCTTCATAGATTATAGAGGTTAATGAATTTCTCCTTAATTGTGTTTATTTTCCTTTAGGTCACATGTATATGCTAGCTGTTTATTCCAGGGACAGTGTAGGCACATGGCTGTAGGTCTGGAGTCTGCTTAGCACATGAAGAGAACCTGTGTCTTGGCATGTTGAACTACATGTGCTAATTAAACCTGAAACCAGCTCTTTGATTTCTAGTTACTGGACATTGACTGAGTTCTCAGAAGTAAACCCAAATGAGGTCTTGAATAGCCAGGATCTGAGAATCATCTGCCTTGTCTTACCAGGTGGTTTTTGCGTTTTGCTTTAGTACATACATATTATACTAGAATCAAAGGATAATTTGGGTTGGAGGGGACCTTGGAAGGTTTCTAGTTCAACCTCCTGCTCAAAGCAGGGTCAACTCCAAGGTCAGAAGAGACTGCTCAAAGCTTTATCCAGTCTGGTTTTGAAAACATCCAAGACTATGCAACCTCTTTTGGCAAACTGTTCCAATGATTTTTCCTTCTTATACTCTGGTCAAGAGAACAGAGGCTTCTCTGCCAAAGTCAAAGATGAGAACCATGAGTGTTGAAGAGGTGGCCAGGCTTCATGGCCAAGGTGGAATACCAAAGCTCTGTTTCCTCTGGCACAGGAGCAAGCACTCCTGGTCTAGGCCCACTTGTAAGCCAGTGTGGGTTTTTAATTTTTTGTTTGTTTGTTTATTATCAGTTCTCTCCTTGGGAAAACTTAACTCTTCCACATTAGTCTTATTTAAGTCCATGAGATCACTTAGCTATTTAGCTAAATATTGTAGATGCTTGTGGAACTAACTAAGCAAACTGAATGAATGTATGGGTCTTGAATGTTTCTGTGAATTACCAAAGTCATAATCTTATGGTATCACTTAAACAATTTTTCTGACTACTTATATGAGGGGAGAACCCAAGCCCCTGGGACTACTTGTTTCTGCTTTTTGTTTTCTGTAAATGTTAGTGGAAAGCAAATGTGAATGTTTTTCAACAGTGTATTTTTCTGAAGTCCTAACTCATTAATTAGTTGGAAAAAAGATCATCAGTGTCTACTGCTAAGTATGGCAGACCTGCAGCCTCAGAGTAGCAAATACTATAATCTGATACCCTCAATAAATAGTTTTTTGTGGACTGAATTATTTTACATGCATGCACACTTACTGGTAAGCTTCCTCGATAAGCAGAAAAGTAGATCATAGTGAAATACTTCTAGTATTCCAGGGCTTCTGAGTCACTTGAAGTAACTTCCCAGTCTATTTCAAATATCATAGCTTAAGGTGGTATTTCTGGGGTACCCCTGGCTACATTCTGATACCAAAGTTGTTGGGTTTTTTTTTCTATCTGTACCTTTACTTCCAATACAGGTCCTTTGTATCTCAAAGATCTTCCTGCATTCTTCCAGATTTGTGTGGCTGAAGTTGGTTTGCTAAGGAGGAATCCAACTAGCTATTTTTGGAGCTTTGTCACTGAAACAGATTGTATCCTGTTCTTCCTTGCTTGTTGAAATTTCATTAGCAATATTATCCAGCTTTTAGCCTGCCTCTTTGTGTAGTCATTTATCCTTACTTCAGGAAGCCTATTTGTGAGATAGAGGAGCTACGTTCCTCGTCCACTAACTTTTGCTATGTCAAGGCTAGCAAAGCACTGTGACTCTGCAGAGGATCAAGGCACAAAGTATGTTTCCAGGAATCCCTGGTGTTTCCTAAAAGCATGCTCATGAATCCCCAGACTTCTATGTCCTCTTTTGGCACCTATCTTTGATACAGCTAGGATTACACTACTAATCTCCCTTTCAAATGATGGCCCTAATATGCCCTGCAGTATCAGAAGTTTTAATTAACCTTATTCTTATAAAAGTCTTATTAAGTTGGTATCATGGCTAAACTGACTGCTTTTAAGCCTTTTCCTCACTCCTTTTGGCAGAAGCAATAAGAGAAAGAGGCTCTCAAGCTTATTGAATTCAAAGATTTGCACAAGCAAACTAGGTTTTGGACCCCTCTCTTCTCAGAAAGCAAAATAGCAGAGGTCTTGTATGTAGATCCTCCCAAGGACCGTGCAGTTTTCCAGTGGGTGAATTGAGCAGTTTTGAGCAAGACAGCTTGTATTTCAAAAATAATATTGTTTTCTTTTTGAACTCTCCAGGTTTGCACTGTGCAGGGACATACTGTTTCAAGCATAGATGTTTGGAGAGTGCCTCTATTTGTGTCTCTCTGGGAACTGTGTTTAAACAACTGCACTGTGAGAAGTAAAACCTTACAGAAAAGTTTGTCTCAACTTCAGAAGCTGTAGATCAGCATCGATCAAATTGAAGTAGCTCAGATATCATTCTGGTATTTTTAGTCTGGTGTAACTGTTCTAGGCTTTACCAACATAAAACCTTGTGGTGCTGGCTCTTGACTCCGTGATGATAGTCACCAGTCCATTTTGCCAGGTTTTGTGCTTTTACATGCCTCAAAATTTAGCTTAGAGTTTACTTAAATTTAAGAAACATATAGTTTGATTAAAATCTTGGTCACAGTATCTCTTTCTTGGAAGTCTTCCGAGAAGAGGCTGAGAAAATAATGTCTGTAAATAAAATATCTTTCTGGAAAACCTGCTTATCCAGTCTGCCTCTTCTTAGGGAATTGTTACCTGCAAACACAGTCTGCATCCTTCTCTAAGTTTAACCTCTTAGCTTAGTGTGGCAGTAAGGGAGCACTCTTGCAGCAAAGAGGTAATGTGTTTTAGCTCTGCCTCTTGGATTCTTATGGTGTGGAGGTGGCAAAACTTCCTTTTGTTGTTAATTAGAGCTCTGTCTCTCATCTTCATGGTGTGCAAGCTGCTGTCATGGTGTTTCTAGCATCTGTCCTGAGCAGCAGCATGACAGTATTGATCTGCAGCCTCTGCTGTGTCTTGGGTCTGACTTGGGGAATCTCATTGGGGCAGAGGTTATTATACATACTCTGATTATTCTTCTCATAGTTCTTGTCACCTTTGCAGATAGTGGAGGTGAAAGAAAGACTTTCTCAGGTGCTTAAATGAAGGTTTCTTTCCCAGATTATCTTTTTTTTTTTTTTTTGACAGTAATAGGCTCACTGTCTCCTAGGCCTTCAGTTATGTGTCTTGCAACAAACACTTCTGACTCCTGGTCAATTTTTGTTTTTCTTCCTTCTGCCTTTTATCCTTGGAAGAACAAAACCACTTGTTTTCCTCTCCTGCCTCTACCTTTTGCCAGTTGTTATGGTGGTCATTAATATAAATCATTAATAATATAGTCAGAATCCCCAGACTGCATAATCTCAAACTTCTTCCCAGTTCCTTAAACTCAGGGGTGAGCTCAAGTGGCAGAAAAATGCTTTTGCTGCTGCTGTGTGAAGCACTATAAACTCATAAATTATTCCCCAGATAACAGTTATCTACAAAACCTAGTGACTTTTCTTTGTGGGAGCCTATGAACAGCAGTAAGGTGAGGTGATTCAGACTAGAGATAAACATGCTTCTGCATGCCAGGCTGGTAAGTCAGGCCTTGCAGAAGGCTAGGGAAGAATGACAGGTGCAAACTTTTCTATACCCGTTTCTGTGTTACGCTCCTTGCTAGTTGAAGCAGCACAGGTCTAAGCAAGGCCTGTGTATTTATGCTGTTAAATCTGATTACTCTACACGTGGCCTCAACCTGCCAACCTTCCCACCCCAAAACCCATGTCAGGGTAACCGGATGTCTCAGTAGAATTGCTAACAGGATTGATGACTAGGGTAGCTCTGAGACTGAGGTGGAGTTTGGGAGTGGGTTCAAAAAAAAAAAACAACCCGAAAACTTCCCTAAAAGACCACACCCTGCTGATTCCTTGCCAGAGGTTACGCTCACTAGTCATGCTGCTGCCACTTAATGATCTCTCTTGAAGCTGGATGACTTAGACACAGGCTTACAGAATTTTCAGTGTCCGTTGTTGATAGCGACTAGTCATGCAATTGAAACTGTGGTCAAGCTTTGCAAGAAGCTTCTCTAGTAGCAAAGCGGCTGCTTTTTTTCTATACTACATGTAGATACTATATAAGTGATCAAGTACTATGTTAAATAGATCTGACTCTTCTTATTCTGTTGCTAATAAAACTCTTTTAATTCTAGATTTGGATATCAAAACATCAGGGACTGGCTGCGTGAAGATTCAGAAAATAGAGTGCAATAACTGCAAAATAGAAACGGAGAAGGGGACTAGTGTCTTGCAGTCAATAAAGGTACAAAGAACCCTCTCCCACTCCATTGGTGTTTTTAAAAAGGATTGTGTGTTGGAATATAATATAAAAAATACCAGCTCTGAAGATGAGAACTCCTCTGATATTTCTAAGTGTTACTATGTGCGTAGCACCTCACCTTTTATTTATTGCGTACAATTATGACACAAAGTAAATAACACTAAATAATGTGGAGTCAGAAGTCCAGGTACCTTTGATGATAGCCAAAGCCAGCAGAAACAGTGACAGCAGTAAGTCTGATATCTGCCCTCCCTACGCCTCAAAAAAGACCAAATACAGACTGGGATTTCCTATCTAGTACAGTAATAGTTATGCTTGCTCAGTCAGGACTTTGCAGTATGTTGCTTTTTTTCCCCCCTGTGTTTTTTTGTAATTCTGGTGTAACAGCGCTATTGACAAACTCTTTAATTTAATTTTCAATCAGAAGTTAAACATTACATATTCAAAGTACCTGACTGAAATATATCTGATAAACTGATACATGATCTCTGTATATATCACGGTCATGACCTTGTTTTTTCAGTCTTAAGATTTCAGTTTTGCTGACGTAGGCTTTTGTAGAAATAATCAAAGTATATCTGACTTAGGTGCTGTTTGGAATCAAATTCACTTGAATAATTAGGATTGTACCTGCAGGAATTGGTATGAATTCAGAAGAAGGTCTTTTCAAATAGGGTAATTCCTAAGATTAAATATGGTTGAGATATGAAAAATCTTTCAGTGTTTTTCTCTACCATGGTAAGAGATTATTTCATAGCGCACATATGGGAAACTGAATTTAAGGCAAAATTTAATGTACAATTGAGCTAGTTTTACTCCATATTCAGTGAACTACTGAATTGACCGTATTACTAATTGACCATATTACTCTTAAAAAGGTAACTAAAATCTAACAAAAAGTTAACAGTACTATAGGTGTTTACTGGTTACCGTGACAGCTTCAGCATACAGTACTAGAAAAGATATGTTAACACTCTTGGTTTTGTTGATTCTGAAGTAGTGAGATTAAGGTTTTGAATTAAAATTAACAACTGTATAGGTGTTTACAAGAGCAACAGTTGTTCAGTTGCAGTATCTCTTAGCCATACAATCTGGTTTTAGTCTAATATTGTTTTTAAGAAGTACTCTAGTTCTAATAAGGCAACTGTGACTCGATTTTTTCTAATATAGGTTCAGGAATTATACTCTGTTAGTAGAGAAGCAGAATTATTAGTGAGAAGCAGAATTATTAACCTTTTGGGTTTTTTCAAAGCCACTGAAAATTTTATAGGCTAAACTCTAGTGCAGTGCAGGAGCTGGTTCTTCTTTAGGGAATGTACTTTAGTGAGCAAACTGAAGTGATACTGCCCTCCCCTGGATGAATTAAAGAGGTGTTTCATGTTGCTTCACTGTTAGGCTATCCACAAACCTCATTGCCTAGCAAAGCAGGAGAGTCTTTACAGTAGAGAGCAAAAGATTATTGATCAATGACTTGAAATAAAAAATTCAGGTTGTGTGGATTATTCAAGAGCAGTAGGAAACAGCTTTACAACTGTTAATTCTCTTCATTTGCTACAGACTGCAAGAAGTTGTTTGTATAACTTGTAATTCAAAAACCTTGGTGATTTTTGGTATACTGTATGGTGTCTTTACAGAAGATCTAGAAATTTGACATCTGCTTTCCTTAATCACACATGCTAGTAGTTGAACAGAAAAGATTAATATTCTGTGTGAGTTTTTTAATGAATTTTGACTGATACTTTTGGTGTAGTAGGAATTAACCAGTGAGACTTGTTGAGGGTTGTTTTACTGAGATCTTTTTTTGGTGGTTGTTTGTAATTGTCTAAAGCCCAGTTCACCCTATCCCTTCTAAGTCTCTAGGTCAACTGATAGCAGCACTAATTCCAAAATACAGTTATGACTTCTCAGTGTTCTTTAGAGCATAAATTATTCCCAAAGTCTTCATTGAGAAAGCAGTGCTTCTTTTTAATTTCATCTTGTGCTTCTTATTACTGTCCATCAGCTCAGCAGTGACAGTGGGATGAAGGAGACCCTTTAATTTTGTTTCTGTGCTCTGTGATTACTTCTGACTCTTTGACTGTGTCGGTGGTAACAAGAATTTCCAGGTGTCTTGCGTACAATCAGCGGAAGACCTGCCGTGCTTCCTCACCACACGTCATGTCTAAGCCTGATTTGTTAAGGTCCTGCAACACTGTTCTTACTTTCTTTGAACAGAACAATTTTTTCTGTTTTTTGTTTAACATCTGTCATGGCCATGACAGCCTTTTACCTCTTCCGTAATCAAAACTTTCTCTCTTGCTAGGAGAAGCCCTATGACACATTAGTGCTGCTTACTTCTGTCTGGATGAATATTCCCTCTTAATGAAAATGCTACTTGACCATTTTAACTTGCTTCCTCTCAGCAAATCCTGCTGTCTGTTAGGTGTCTCTATTGATAACTACCTCTGAAAGCCTGTTGTTTTTACTCACAAGACCTTTTTTGATCTTTCTGAGATTAGTTTTATAATTGGTGGTAGATCTTTTGTTTGAATATACCTTAGCTATATGTCCCTTTTTGTGTGTATTTCTCTATTTTTTTTTTCTCGTCAATTGTATGCAGCAGCTGAAAGGTATAAAGGCTATAGCATTTCTTACTTGAAACCTGGTTTCTTTGGGAAAAAACTTGAGATTATAGTATAGATATATGCAAAATACCTAATTTGAATGAGAATCTGGTTGTAATGAAACATTGTAGGATCTGGTTCTATTTGCAGGCCTAAGGTCTGCACTGGGATGCATCCACAGAATTTTATGGCTATACGTGCTACTCCAAGAATAAATAGCTGTATGGTATGTTTGTGTCTATATATATGATTATCCTACAGGGTTCTGTGACACTGTAGGTTCCAGATCACTGGAAGGTTCCAGTTTGCAAGTTCATTTCTCATTGCCAGCTCCTAGTTTCTCATCTGCTACAGTACCGGGTATATGCATACTGTGGTTTCTGGATGGAGTATAAATTAAATGCCAAGTTCCCTCTTCCTTCACCTGCTGTTTATTTTTATATATACTGAGTGAATGTTTTTCTAGTTAAAAAAGCCAAGCCAAAACCCCCACCTGTATTGAGAATAAAGGTTTCCTCAGCATCAGTCTTTCCTTTGTGTTTCTGGTTACAAAGAAAGCTGACTTGTTTTGAGTTTGACCCCACTGGAAGTAAACAGCACGTTTGGCAATCACTTGAGAAGAAGCCTTCACAGTAAAAAGGAAGTTTGTGATCCAAGGTGGCTGTTGTGGTACAGCTTGAAAAACAAGACAACTTGTTTTCTAATTATGATTATCCTAACCTTATGATTTTCAAACTTTTTTTTCAGAGTCATAAAATTGATATACGAACAAATGGTGGCAAAGTAATTGGTCTTGGAACACTTTATGGAAATACAGATATTCGTGCAACAGAGAAGGGTGTAAGTAAGAAGTAAAACTTTCTCTCCAATGGCTTGTTCAACTTGTCTGTTGCAAAATGACTAAATTTTGAAGAATATGTGCTGAGGGAAAGATAATGACCCTCATTGGTTGATTGTCATTTCACTGTTAACTTAAGTTCATCTGTTTAATTATACTGTTTTATCTTGTGCTTGGTTTGCAGTAGTAAAGAGGCTCCAGAGAAAGAGCAGTAATAAGCATGTGATCATTCCGTCAGCACAGAGCTGATACAACTCATCAGTTTTAATTACGTAGACCCTCACAACTGTCTTAAACTTTTTACTTGGCTGATATCTAGGCACCTGGATTCTGCAGCAGGCCCATGAGTTTATTTTAGTGTCTCATGAATAGTGTCTTGATATTTTTACATGCTCTACAATTCCAGGATTATTTGGTTGTAGGAACTGAAGAGTAGAAGAGTATTTCTTTGCAGCTGAGGAAATGTAATTGCATGTAATCTTGTTAACGAGATGCAGTGAAGAATCATAAACTGGAAGAGTTTTGTAGAGAAGTAGCTTGCTTTTTTCAGCAGATGGCAGCATGAGACAAACTTCATAGTACTCTAATCTGGTTTTGTTTCTTGACATAAGTAGTCAATTTTTCTTTATTTAAGATAACGTAGAGCTAGGCTCCCTTACATAATACTACAGTTTTTACACCGAGTCTGGTTCTTGGGCTTAACTTGAATGTTTAGGTGTCACAATGTCCATGTAACTGCTATTAGGAGTCGTTAGATCTGAGGCATTGCTGTATGAACATGTGGAACCAGCCCAAGTCTGTAAGGAGCTTGGATGTGTGCAGTACTCTGGCAGAATCAGTAGGTACCCTTAAAGACCAGCAGTGTTGGAAAGAATCAGAAGGAGTGCGGGTGACTCTCCCTAGCCAACAAAATAATTAGGGCCAAGATATTATGTTCTAGGAGTCCAAACTCACCTCTGCAAAGTACCATTTGGCACTGTCGTATGTGTTGTAGGCTGCGTTCTGAGGTCATATGGTCTCTTACATAGAACTACCAAACTGTTCTTAACATTCTGCTGTAAATTAAGCAACTTGTCATTGGTTTTTTCCAAAAACTGTCAACATTAAATTACCTGCATTTGTTTGTAGTGGATGCTGGCCTGCCTTTTATGTACAAACACCTGCTGTAGCTGTACTAATTAGTACTTCTTCATGAACATTTCTTCATCCCAGCAAGACATCCCAGCATAAAGCAGAGTGGGTAAAGTCTTACTGTGACATGCTCTGTTGATGCCACAGTTGTACTGATTGGTGCTAATTGATTGGCAGTTCCCTCAGGAATGTTACTAGTTAGTGGAGTTCAGATCCATCCTAAGCCATTAGCAGCTACAGGAAATAGAAGAGAGCAGAGGCAGTTTGCAGCTTTCTTGATGTGTCATCCATCTTCCTGCAGAGGGCTGCTGTTGAAAGGATCTGAAAACTGGACTCCTTGCTTTCTACCAGTGAATAAGATGAAGTGTAATCTAGAAAATGCTTTAACCACTGTGGATTCATGCTGCTCACAACATACTAGCATGGTGGTGGTCTTTAAATCAGAATTGTGCTGCTTAGTCATTTTTCCCAAACTAGTTTATTACACCAGTACAGATCATGGAGTTAATTTCAAATAACATCTTGCTGGTGATGATAAAAACAAGTGGATGGTAGAAAAATAATTAGATCTATATCTATGTGAAAATATAGTTCATGAAAATGAGTAATGTAATTGTTTTGCTTTGAGTCTTTAAATGGTATTTAAAAATCTAACTTTTTTCAGACACACTGTCCTTCTGAAAAAATAAAACAAACTTCCTGCAGATTAAGTGAAGTGCTTCTTTGTGATCATAAATATTTGCCTAGTCTGTAATATTGCTAGAAGTCATGCTTACAGTTGTAAAGCTGTAGTATCTTGAGTGAAGTGAGTAATTTTAACAGGAATTTACATCTGCAGAACAATATTTTGGTTTATGTTATTGAACTTCTCACTAGCAAACTTTGCTGAGTAGTTAGAAAGGACAGTGTGAGATTTCTTTTCTCAATTGGCCCCTTCTGTTAATAATCAGTCAGCCTTATGTCTCCTGTGTATGTTTGTATGAGATGTTTCTTCCATCAGTTGTAGTCATCATTATGTAATTATGGCTCTGTCAGCATTTCCAGCCCCCTCCTGGAGGTGGGGAGGGAAAGGATGTGGTAAAAGATACTAAGCATTTGAGAGCTAGAGAATATTTTTAAGGGGGAGAATAGAGAAGCCACTCATAAAATATTTGAGCAAAAATGGCACAAAAAGGAAGGCTAAGGTGAGCAATATGTGGGGAAGGAGTTGTTTATGTTGTATTTAAACATAGCAAGATGTTCCTTTCAGGTGAAAATGTGTTCAGGTGCAAAAACATTCTCAGTCTGATTTTTGAAGATAAACACTTTTTTCTTTAAAAGGTAGGAAACTGATGGAGCACGTGGTCAGTCTCAGTAACTGCAACTCCCAAGGCCCTACTCTCAAAGGAAGGAATTTTTACAAGACAAATATAATCAAATTTGTTTGACTGGGGAGTCATTAGCTAATCTGTGCGACAGGGATTTTTCTATAACATTTATTTAGCAGAGCCAATCATGTGTGTTTTGCCAAAAATTCATAAAAGTTAAAGAATTTGGGACTGAAAACATATTTAGTTTCAATAAAAAGCCATCCTATTTTTTCATGGTTTCCCTATATAGAATACTTTTTAGTCTTATACTTGAGCAGCCTGACTCTTGCCCTCCCCCCTTAGATCTGGGTTATTCTGAAACAAATGTTCATTGTATTGGTAGTTTTGGGGTTTTTTTTAATTTATTTTTAATAGCAACTAGCTGACTCAGTACTTATTTTTATCATGTGCTGAGACAACTCTTTATTGCTGTGCATTTTTAAGAAAGATGGTTACGGCTGGGAAATAAGATGAGTTGGGGTGTGAGCTTATTTATAATTAGGTGCTTTATACTACTTAAATATCCGGATAGAGTCAAAATTTGCATGCCATAGTAATAGATGTAGATTTTTTGGGCTTTCCTTTTTTTTTTTTGCCACAAGGCAGCCAGTTTGCACCCAAACTATGCGGATGTTTTTATTTCCCCTCCCTTAAAGTGTACCTTGTTCTGTTTTCATTATGCTGATAGCAATGATGGCCCTGCTAAAATTGGAAAGGTACTTCAGAAGTAATTAACTCTTCGGCACAGGTTTACATCACTGAGGAAAATGATAGTGGCTTTTCTTTTATTTGTTGCTTTGTCAGTGTGCCACAGCAGGCTTACGCTTTGCTATCCTGGGTGTGGGAGTAGTGGAGTACTCTGTGGGAAACATTTGTAGGATAGATGCAATGTAAACTTGTGTTTGTTAAGGACTCTGCTTGTTAAGAGTTTTGTTAGGAGCACTGAAAGATTGAAAAGCTGGATTGCTGTCACTTTGGGTAGTGACAAGTTATGCCTTAATATCATTGCCTAAAGATCACCTGCAGAAATTGTACACATTGACTGTCACATATCTCTAATTCTAGCACAGCACTTTCATCACCAGACTTTCATAAAGGTTAATGTAGCTTCTTACATTCATGGAGACCTGCTATGTGTTGCAGCATTGCATCACGTCAAAAATATTAAGACAAGAGTTTGTTTTGTAATCTTATGACTTAGTGTAAAGATGGCATAAAGCTATGTATGGATTGGTAAAGTCACAGTATAATTTGGCTGTCATATAGTTCATACTAAACCAGCCTCTTTAGCTCGCTTCTTGGGACACAATGCAGGATGGAGTTTGTGCAACTCTAGTTGCTGTTTGTCAGAATACCTCTTCCTTTACCCATAGCATATTCTTTATACAATGTAACACTCACTGGAAGGGTTAGCAGACTTATTTTTTTGTATTAACTTTGACAAGATGACAATGCTAAAATGATAAAGCAGATTTAAAGATGAATTGCCATAAGGCACAGTTTGATCTAGAAGGTCATATATAATTTAATGTAATGAATAAGGATTGTGTGCAATTCACTTGAAGTCTGTGTAAGCAAAATAAAAACAAATTGAATGGAAGTTAAGTATGAACTATTGCATGATTCCATCATAAATCAAGTTTAACTGAGGAAGAATAGAATTGAATTTGTATGGTAGCTGCACAAGAATGTGATCTGTTTTGTTCAGATAGGTATAGGTTGTCTCACACGACTTGTTGCTTCTGCATAGATCATTCCATCTATGACCTTTTATTCCTCAAATCTATCTGTAGTGCAGCTTCTCAAATCCTATTCTTTTTCTCCATTTCTATTGAAAAGAAGTAGAAATGGAGATCTTACCCTTCATTTTTTAAGGCTTTATACAACTTGGGGCTTAAGTCCAAGAATAGAGGCCTGAATAACCAAGGTAGGATGAACTGAGAGAAAGAGCCGCTGTGGCTTTTTCGCAAGCCTTCACCAATGCTATGTCTACAAAGTGAGCCAGTTAAAAATCTGCATAAGTAGCTGCATGTAACAGACAGTAGATATTTCAGTATATGGTGGCCTGAGTATCAGTGCTTTAAGTGTTATAATGTTGTATGAACATTAAGTCTTCATTATTAGAGCTGATCCTTTTTTTTATTTTTCAAAATGAAGTGGTTTGGTTTTTAAAATAAATCAAGTTTTTATTTCATCTGTTTGTGATTGTTTGGGTTCTTCACCTGTATGATGGATGTAATAATTCATCGGAATGTTGTAAAGAACCATTAGCTTATCAGTCAGAGCTCTTGAATGAAAAGGTTTTTTGTTTTGTCTTGTGTAGCTTTTAGCTAAGAATTCGATTCTGTTTGTTCTGCACCAACAACTGCTTTCCATTTGTTTTGCCTCTTAAGTAGTGTTACTTCCCTCTGCCTTTTCAAACTGTGATGACAAGTTTTCCATTATGTTTATTTAAGTTTATTTCTCTTAGAGCGTGAATATAGAGAAGCTGCAGGGGACATCCATCAACATATCTACTGAAGATGGGCTGCTGAAAACTAAGTATCTCTATGCAGATTCATCGTCTCTGTCTTCAGTAGCTGGTGATATTCTGCTGGGAAGTATTCATGGTAAGAAGGAAATCCTGTCACATGGTAAGGGAAATACTATCACAAATGTAGCTGCTCTGAAGGTATTCATAACGTTCACAGTAAAAAATCATAGAATCATAGAATGGTTTGGGTTGGAAGGGACCTTAAATATTGAGTTCCACCCCCCCTGCCATGGGCAGGGACACCTTCCACTAGCCCAGGTTGCTCAAAGTCTCATCCAGCCTGGCCTTGAACACCTGCAGGGATGGGGCATCCACAGCTTCTCTGGGCACCCTGTTTCAGCATCTCATCACCCTCACAGTAAAAAATTTCCTCCTAATATCTAATCTAAATCTACCCTCTTTCAGATAAAAACCATTACCCCTTGTCCTGTTGCTACACTCCCTGATAAAGAGTGCCTCCCCATCTCTCCCATAGCCCCCTTCAGGTACTGGAAGGCTGCTAGAAGGTCTCCCTGGAGCTTTCTCTTCACTAGGCTAAACAGCCCCAACTCTCTCAGCCTGTCCTCATAGGGGAGGTGCTCCAGCACCAGTCCTCTGGACTCACTCCAACAGGTCCATGTCCTTCCTGTGCTGAGGACTCCAGACCAGGTAGGGTCTCGTGAGAGTGGAGTAGAGGGGGAGAATCACCTCCCTCGACCTGCTGGTCACACTTCTTTTGACACAGCCCAGGATATGGTTGGTTTTCTGGGCTGCACCTGCACATTGCTGGCTCATGTTGAGCTTCGTGTCTACCAGCACCCCCAAGTCCTTCTCCTCAGGGCTGCTCTCAATCCATTCTCCACCCAGCCTGTATTCGTGCTTGGGGTTGCCCCAGCCCAGGTGCAGGACTTTGCACTTGGCCTTGTTGAACTTCATGAGGTCTGGACAGGCCCACCTCTCAAGTCTGTCCAGGCCAGGCCCTCTGGATGGCATCCCTTCCCTCCAGCATGTCAGCCGTGCCACACAGCTTGGTGTTGTCTGCAAACTTGCTGAGGGCACACTCAGTCTCATTAATCCCATATAACAGCAGTCAAGGTTGGAATCTGTTGAGGTTTTCTCATTTAACAAATTCACATTGAATTCTGATTGTGCTGTAATGCATTTGTGGTGATTTAACATTAAGTAAAGCAAACTGGAGGATATATGAGAAGTTAAAGTTACTCACGTCAGTCAGAGTACCAGATTTCCAACTATATGCTTTGTAAGCACTTTGCTGCAATTTCTTAGCAATTTTATGTTGTCATCTTGCTTCAGAAGTGATTCTGTCCTTAAAGGAGCAACTCCTTTGTCTGTTTACTATAAGCTTAAGACTGTTTTCTAAACCAGTTAGGTAAAGTTCACTTTAGCGTGCATAGGCAGAAATAAGATTTTTTTTTTTATTATTATTCTTGTTATTGTATATTTCTAACATATAGACTGTATTACTGGTATTTCTGGATGATAAACTGTTTTAGTTTGGTTTTTTCTAACTTCAAACCCATATAATGATACTGTGGAATGATCAGTTTGTGAGCATGTTCATGCCTCTGTGCACATCCAAAATATTTGTTTTTGTTTTCATGGTACAAAAATGAAATAACTGCTCTAGTTAGTGACTTACTTCCTTAGTAATGCCACATTGTCATTTAGCTGAACAACAGGGTGAAAGCAAATAGAATTGCATCCAAATTAAACAGACAGTTCTTACATTACTTCAGGGTTATTTCCTGAGCTCTCTACTAAATGGATCTGGAACACCTAACGTTATTTTAGCTGTTTCTTTTAAAAACAATTGCACATTAACAGTTGCATGATATTTCTATTTTTTCAGAATAATATTTTCTGCAAAACGTCATGCTCCTCAATCATGTTTTAATAGTAAGAGCAAATACTTTTAAAGTATTTTAAATTATTGTATATCATATATATATATGTGTGTGTGTGTGCGTGTGTATATATATTAGCAGAAAAGATAAACTCCCACTATAATTTTATGGTAGAAAAAAATTGATCACTTTCACTTAGTCTTTTGCTTATAAGGTAGCTCAATTTTAGTAGTAGTTTTGTTTGTAAACACTTGGACAGATTATTTCTTGGTCAAGTAAGCCCACTATTTCCCTATAGCTGATGGTATGCTAGTATTATAGTTGGCATAAAATCAGCACATCTGTGCAAAAAACTGAGCTAGACTTCGTTGCTTTTGTACTGAGAACTTTGAAGTCAGGGCAATGCAAGCTTTACAAACCTGCCTGAGACCCATTTTGTAGTTGAAACTTGGGCTGTACGATTCCAGTGCTTGTGAGCTTGTAAACTTGGATGAATGGAATTAGAATTAGGACCTGACAGACTAAAACTGACTCCGTGTAGAAAGATTATATTGATTCTGTATTGCAGTCCTTAAGCATAACAGTAATACTGTCTTCAATATTGTTGTCCAATGCCTCAGATGATGGAGGCATCAGAAGTTAAATTTTCTTCGCTGTCACAAAAAAACCAAACAGATAAAAAAAACCCCTACCAGTGTGATACAAAAAAGCTACAGACAAAAGATTGTCTGAGCCTTTTATTTTTAAAGAAAGTGAGTGCATAATGTGTGCACCATGTACTTAACATTGTTGAAACTGCTATTTTTGTTATAGAATAAAAATTACTGTCTTTTTTTTATAAATGCCTGTATCACTGTTAGGATGAATACAAATGATAGTTTGAACACTTGACTTTAAATTGACTTTAGCTCACTTTTAAACGTCTGCTAGATTTAACTCCTTGCAGTGCATAACCGTTGTGTTTGTACTGTACTAGTAATTTAAAAACCTAGTAGAATTTAAGATTTTACTTAAAGGTATCTTTCTTCAGCACTTTCATATTAAATTTAATATCTATGAAAAGGTGTAAATTTTACACTAAAAGGAATTTGAGTAATGCTGTCTCAGAGTAACAAAATAGCTTGCATTTTGCAGGTAACTTTTTATGTAGTTTAAGTAATTCATATATCCAATAAGGAAGTTAGATTGAAGTGCCCAGAATCGGGTTGTTCCCAGCATATATCTCAGATCTGAAGCAGCTAAAATATTTAAGATGCACTTACAATGGGGGATTAAGATATCTATGGAAATACCACTGAATACATGGTATGGAAATACCAGTGAGTACGTCTTTTTCTTTAGTCCAACCCACAACTGAAGGGAAGGGGGTAAATGGTCCCTATTGAATGTCATCAGTTTTACCAAGAAAAAAAAGTAAAGGTGAGGGAATATGTACATGGGCATTCTCGATTGCTTTTTTGCATGCTTCATACTTTTATGGCAAATGAATAATGCACTATTTTGAATAAATTAGTTTTGAGTAATTTTAATCAGTTTCTGTAACAGGTAAGTGTTGGGTGCCATTCAGCTTTCTACTTGACACTTAAAAAAATCAAAAGAATAAACAGCTCCAAGACTGAGAAATGTACTACTTTATCCAGGGGGCAATAACATTACAGTGAAACTCCTCCACAGAGGAGCAAGTAGGAGAAAAAGGAAACCCCTTTTTGCAACTGTGCCAAAGCCTTGGCTTGAGCTGCATTAATTATTAATTTATTTTATTCACAAAATAATTTAGGATGGAGAGGAATTTGACATCAAGTCCAACTCAATGCTTAAAGTCGGCTCAATTAGAGCAAAGTTGCTCATGGCCTTGTCTGGTTGAGCTTTGAATATTCTCAAGGACAGAGATTGCATGACCTTTTGGTGTTACGTGTTCCAGTCCCTAATTATCCTTCTGGTGGGGAAAAAAACTTTGTCCCTTTTAAAAAAAAAAAATCATAATTTCCATTATGGGAACTTGTAACCGTTATCCCTTCTTCTTGATGCATCACCATGAGAAGAGTCTCTTCTCTATACCCTCCCATTAGGTGGTTGAAGACGGCAATAAGATTCTTCCTCAGCCTTCTTTAAAAGCAAATCAAACCCACCTGTCAGAGTATCTGTAATGTGCTCTGGGCCCCTAGTCTTCTCAGTACCCTTCTCAGGCCTCACTTCAGTACATCAGTGTTTTTCCTGACTGGGAAGCCCAAAATTGAACACAGTATTCCAGATGTAATATCACAAGAGGGCTGTACCTGCTGCCTATACCCTTAATGACACAGCTCAGTGTGCGCTTGACCTGTTTTACTGGCTCATACTGAAGTTGGTGTCCATCAAGGTACCTGGGTCCTTAGCTGCAAAGCTTCGTTGCAAACAATCAGCATTCAACTTTTACTGCTTTATGGGGTTGATTTGTCTCATATGCAGGACTTAATATTTGCCTTTGAGCTTTTCTTCTGTCATAGTCTAGTAACTATTTCATTATGTGAGAGAATCACACTGGAGAACATGGTTATTGAAGTTGCTCTATGTATTTACACACTAATTAATATACAGGAAAAAGTGAACAGGTAGCTGCCTTATCCTGTCAGTGACCTGGATGAGACAAAGTAGAAAATCTGCAGTGTTTTGAAGGTAGTATGGTATAATGCCTGTGTTTGGCACTCCATAATCCGTTCTGAAAAGAATCTGATATACCAAAATTTGTTCCATAAATTTCAGTTATGTTTCTGGATTTCACTGTTACAAAGTGGGATTGTAGAAATTTTATTTGTTCCCTTTTAGGTTTGTCTCTGCTTTAGCCTGATGCAAATTTAAAATGCAAAGTCAGAGTGGTAAAAAGCTGCATGGTGGTTTATTTGCTTTTTTTGTGCATCAGAATAACCCTGTCACCTTGCGATCCTTCAAAACAAATTGGAGGAATGGAAATAATACTATGTAAAGCGATGCCTTAATTTATATCCCAAAAGCCATCTTTTGCCCCAGTCCTGTACTGATCCTGACTTGTAGTACTGTAGTTTCAAGTTCTATAGTGTTTATGCAGAAACGAAGCTTGTACATGATAGGAAAGATAACTATTTCTTCAGAAGCAAGAAGCTGTCTCAGGTTAACCCAGGACAAAGAGAAACACTAAACCACTGCCATCAATGTTCTGTTAAAACTATTGTATTTCGGACTTATAGTATTGCACTACAATGTTGAAGTCAGTTGGATGGAATAATCAAACTAGCAATTACCTCTAGTCATGTCTTTCTCTCTTTGCCCTTGACATGTCCAAAAAATACTTGGCTAGCTTAAAAATTTTGTGTTGGCCTTCATAGAATAGTTACATGACCAAAAAGTACATTCTTGTGTGCTGTCTGTAGGCACTGCAGGTCACAACACAGCAGGACACTCCTATCTGCTTTAAAAGCAACTTTTGTTCTAGCTGAATGTTTTAAGTGAGCCTGTCACAGTAACATGAGTCATATCTGCATATAAGTTTGTGGTTAATAAGAGTTTGATTTCTAGATGTTTGATATTTTTCAAGGACCTGCTTATCAAAACAAAACAGAAAAACAAAGAACAGACCAGCAAATCCACAAGTCCCAGGGGCCCTACTCAGACAGAGTATCATCTAGTTTCAGCTCCATGGGAGTTGCTAGCTGACAAAACACTAGGCCTTTTTGTAGGTTGTACAAAAATAAGTACTAGTCATGATAAAATAGGGAAAAGGGTGGGTAATTACAGTGTGCCTTTTAAAGGCAAACAGTAAAGCCAAACATCCTTCAAGTTTATTGAAATATGGTTTTGGTTCGACTCTGATTTTCAGACCCTAAGTATTTTGTACAGTATGTGCTTGAAATTATGAACTTATGATAGGCTGCTTTTTGCTTTTCTAGCTTTTAGCCCACAGACCACTAAAAAAAAAAACACTACAGGTCATATACAGAGGAATGCATTCTACTGTAATGGTATTTTACGACTGTAATTACAGAAGATAGGAGCAGAACTTGATCCATTTGCAGTTTTTAAAGCCCTCTTACAAAAGATCTGAAAATTGTTGTGAATACTGTGTATTACTAAATTGGATTCAATTACTGTGATCAACCTTATTTTTAAATCTCTTACTTCCTGAGAGGACAAGGGAGTGGCAGGAATGACATGTTGTGGTTTAGGTTTTTAATTAAAGGCATTTTTTGTGAGGCAGTTTTACATGTGTAGCATACATGGAACTATGGAAGTTTCTACCAACTTTGTTAGACTGTGGGTAGTATAGATGGCTTTTTGTTACAAGGTACATCTGTCGTCCTTCCAGATTCTCTTGATGCCATAGGTAAGTGGGAAGAGTATGGATTTTGAGATTTTAAGGCCAAAACACCAAGTGCCTGTTCAAAGTAAATGCAAGTTCAGTAGGAGACCATTCTACATTTTGTGCCTTACACACTCTTTTGTTTGATGTTCTCCAGTTCATCCGACACACTCAGATCTCACTGAAGTCAGTGAAAAGCATTGGCAAGGGGTCATCATGCACATAGGGATAAGTTTGGGGGAAGCAGGTAATGTTCAGTGAGTCCAGGAAGGAGCCTTTGAGGATAAAGCAGAACATCCCCTCCGGTGGTGGGGGTAAGGGGCAGGTATGTGTATAGAAGAGGAAAATTAGCTGTTTCTATTTCTCATCCTATTAAACTACTTAAATCATCCATAGTGCTGTTGCAGGCATCAGAGCAATTAAAAAATTAGCCCTAAATAAAATAAGAAATTATTTTTCTTTAGCCTTGAAGTGCCTCTCTGCTTTTCTTTCCCTCACATCTAGTCTGTGTCTTTAGGCTTTACTTGGTGTTTTTCTTGTCTGGAATCACTTCATTGTTACCGACCTGTTAAGAATTTTGTTTGTAAAGCAATAATATTCAAGCAATATAACTGGTTTATGCTATTTTGCTTTTATATGCAAATCAGATATGCTACTACAGCTAGAATGCCCTTGTACAGGATCACATTACTTGAGCCTTTGTTATGATTTCAGTTAAATAATATGCTTTTAACATTTTTCCCCTTTTCTTTTCCTATTAGGCAACACCAGCCTTCAGACCAAAACAGGGAGTATCACAGTAGGTAGGTTCTACCTTCTCGCCAAGAGAACTCTTTTTCTCACTCTGCCCTTCTCTTTTCTGAAAGCTAAATATTCACAGAGAAAGTAAAAAGGAGGAGGTGATTCCTCACAGATGATTCTGCTGTCTTTTCTTTTCAAGAATAGCACTGATAGCTATGTCACTGAAGGAGATCCTTTCCAAACTAGACTGTCAGCCTTTTGCAGTTGGGCAAGGCACACTGCACACTACTTTTGATACCAGAATATCTGCTGCACTTTGCACAAGTTAGACTGAGTCTAGGTGTCATCTTTTAGATTAAGATGGGATAAAATGACATGAGAAAAGACTAAGGATGCATCAAATGCAATCATTTTGCCTTTAACCTAGTTCTGTCTTACATTTGTTGCTATCAATGACTAGCTGTTTTAATTTTTATATCACAAAGCATTAATCATTGATGTATTACATATTAGGGGGGGGGGGAAGCTTGTGCTAATTTAAACAACACTTCCAAGCTATTAAGTTAATCATTGGTTTCACTTCCTGAAATAAAAACAGCTCAAATTTTCTTGCAGGAACTTAAGCTTTTATACAACAAGATAACTCAGAGTTAGTTATGGTAAACATTAATTCTATCAGTTGCATTATTCTAGGAAAATATTAGGGCTCCTTCTTCACTATTTTATAGTACAGCTACACAAAAGTGAGAAACTCAAATTCTGGTTATTTGTATGCAGAAAATTGAAGCAACAGAATCATAGACAAGGCTTAGTGCCACTTGAATGTACATAGAAGGATTTCCCTTTCTGTAAATAAACTTGGTACAGGCCCAAATCTCACAGGCTTCTGCTAATGGTAGTAACCACAGTCACTCACTAAGTGTTGTTCAGGGACAAGCTGTACTGTTACAACTCTTCTTATGTTTCTGAGCAATCTATATTAACATTCCTGGAAAATGAATGCAATGCAGATTCTTATGAGTTAGTCATTAAACCACAGAATTAAATTAAGCTTGCTAGTCTGTTTTTCCTTCTGTTAAATAAACTCATAGAATATGCAGAGTGTTTAAATAAAGGTTTCTTAACACAGGAGGTAGCTTTTTCCATCAGCAGATGATGATTATTTTCCTTAATTAACCAGGTCCAGCTTAAACATTAAGACACATCTTACAGTTGAATAAACTGTATTTTTCAGTTTTAAATTTTGAAAGCACTAGTTAGACTTAATCTTTTCCTAAAGAACATTAAACATTCTTTAGATTTTTATGGAATTTTTCCAAAGGCAAATGACTTTTCAGATCCAGTGGTTCAACTCCAAAAGCTTGAGGGGAAAAAAATATAAAGTTTTAAGTGAAAGGATTTTATGTATGAGAAATTTATGTCACAAGATAGTTTGTTGGATTGCCAGAGATCTGTCAGGGATTTGCTGATTGAAGAACTGAGTTGTTCTTCCTATTTCTAACTTCCCTGGCTGGGTTTTCATAGGCATGTAGTTATTTATTTAACTGGAGGCAGAATTTTATCAGTTAACTGGAAAAAAAATAATGCACTCATCTCCGGATTTTGGGGACATATCCTTAGCTTTTGAGAGATTTATTTACGAGTCAAACTAAAATATAGTTCAGAGTGCTGGATTTTTTTTTTTTAATATTTTGGGGAAAATGCAAGTGACTGTGTTGACAGTTTCTTATTCTTGTATAATTCTGCATTAAAACAGGGAACTGATGCTGTTGTCAGTCTATTTGATTTTCTGCCTTTTTTGTTATTTATATAATAGTTAGCTTTGATTTGGGTTTTTTTCATTTTTAAATTATTGTTTTATTTTTTTAAAGACTATCCAAAATTCAGTGTGATTTTTAAGCATCTGGCCTAGGGCAGTGTCTCACATCGACATTGTTAAAATATGGAAGTAGGGGTTACTCTTTTTTTTTTTTCCCCCTATACTATGAGCTTTGTTAGTTGCTGACAAACTGTTTTCCAGCCTTGTACTAGAAGCTTCCTACTTCTAACAAATGTTCCATGGGTTGTGAATGGGTTTTAATTTAAAACAACCCAGCCTATTTTTGCTTCTAGTTTAAGTTACTGCTTAAAATAGTCATTAGAGATCTGAGTAATCTCACAAAAAGTAGTTGAGTACTTTGTGTTTAGAACTACTTTAATATTTTAAATTTTGTTTGGTAAATTCATAGGAAGACTCAGGTTGGAAGAGACCTCAGGAAGTTGCAGAATCACACAATGTTTGAGGCTGGAAGAGACTTCTGGAAGTCATCTTGCCCAGCCTCCCTGCTCAAGCAGTCTCTAGTTTCCAACCTCCTGCTCAAAGCCATGCCAACTGTGAGGTTGCTCAGGGCATTATCCTGTGGTCTTGAAAACCTCCAAGGACAAAGACTGTACAGCTTCTCTGGGAAAACTGTTCCGCTGCTTGACTGTCCTCAGGGTGACAAAGATTTTCATTCTGTCTAGACTGAAGCTGTCCTGTTTCAGCTTTTATTTGTTGTCTGTTGTGCTCTCATCATGTACCATGCAGCAGCCTGGCTTTGTCTTCTTGATCACCTCCTTGCAGATACCAGGGGGTGCTGTCAGGTCCTGAAGCAGTCTGTTCTCCAAGATGAGCAAGCCCTCATCCCTCAGCCTCCCCTGATGGGGAAGTTGCTCGATGCCCTGACTGTCTTGGTGCTTCTCTGCTGAATTCACTCCAGTTTATTGATGTCTCTCTTCTCTTGGGAGCCCCAACACTGGATGCTGTATTCTAGGTGTGGTCTAATAAGTGCTGAGTAGAGGGGGATAAGCCAAAAGCCAGATTTTCCCCTACCAGCTCAAAAAATTTTTTTTCCTTACTGGATTAATTATGTTTAGCCAAATAATGCATTGAAGAAATGAATCTTCTATGTTTGATGTAGTCAGAAGTTATAAAGCTGGTGTTGGGTGTTTCAGTTCAGAGGGGAAGAAACAGCCTTAACCAGCTTATGGGCAGCAGGGACTTATTCTGTCAAGAAAAACTGTATATTGAGATTTAAGAAGCTCTAATTTATATTTTCAAAAATATGTCAGTGTCAGTTTGCCTTATTCTGCTCATTTCTTCAGTAACCCACACTAGATGACCTAAAGGCTTCAGGGACTTGCTGTGATACTCACTGTCTTAAATCAACTGAAACTTAACAATTAAGAACGTTTCAGCTTTCTCAAAAACATACCTTTGAGTATAGTCCTGACATGAAAGTGAACAGAAGTGTCTGAGATCCTCCTTTGTGATGAGTCAGTGTCACAATAAGGCAGTTCCCTAGCACTGAGTCAAAGCACCAAAGATTTATAAAGATTTATTTTAAGAAGGGAATCAATTAGAGAAAGCAATTATGGTATTTAAGACAGTTTTGGAAAACTGAAAAATAAAACAATAACGGTGTATTTAGAAGTAATGCTGAATTTGTGAGTTTTGTCTTGAGGATTCAGTTTTTAATATGTGATCTAGGGAATTTTTAAATTAAAAACCTCACTTCTGAATTACATTAAAGGCATTTACTGTAATTCATAAAGTACAGCTCTTGAGTACTTTAAAAGAAATACCCATTCACACACTTGTAATCTCTTAATAGCAATTAGTTCTATTGATCTAGTCTTTGCCATCTGTTTATTATCAGTAAACAATTTTGGTGATGTTACATGATGTATGTTTTAAAGCATCTCATATAATGGTGCTGAAGATTCTGGATGTTGTTACAGTAGTACCTAAGTTTATATTGGTTTTGGAGCAATTTTTTTTTTTACTCCTGATGAGATTTATTTTATACTTGTAGAATGTATACCTTGATACAGTTGTCAATACTTGTTCGTAGCAGAAGAATTAAGGACTATACCACCCGTTTAATCCACAAATGGATACTTCTGTTCCAATATAGAGCTAACCAGTCTACATTACAGACAGTAGAAATATAACTAGGTATACAAGGATGATCCAATTCTAATAACTTTTAACAGGCAGTATGATGTCTGAAAGTCTTTCTTAGGATGCCATAAGTGGAAAAATAATGGATTTTTCTGAAAAATTATTTCCTTCCCTCACTACTTGGGGTCTTGATAATTGAATCCAAAATGCTGTCTTGTATCTCATTAAGTACTATCACTATTATTTAATATAAATTAGGTTTGATCTAAGAAATGCAGCATCCTATAAATATCAGGCCTGTTCATTATATTTCAAATGTACATTTGCCACATATGCCACTCTTAATCTATAAAAATTTGTCAAATAAAGATATAATTTCCATGGATTTAAATCAAGAGAACAGATCTGAAAGTCAGAATCTATGCAGCCATCCTTGCTACTGTGAAGAAGATTTAACTCCATCCCAGCCAAAACCAGAATGATATATGTACAACTGAAAATCTAGAAAGGAACTCTGTCTTGAAGTGAGGCTGCTAGATTTGCAAAAGGTATCTTTCCACTGTGAAGAATCTTACCAAGAGCTGCTTTTGCATTTGAAGAGTGGGAAGAAGAAGGATTCACTGAATAAACATTAATCCCTGTAAAGTACCATCAACTGGGGATGTTGTACAGACTGTTGGCAGTCTTTCTCCTTGGAGAAGGTGGCTGTCCTGTCACAGGAGACTCTTCTTTGTTCATAGTGCAGATAAAGGAACTATCTGTATGTTTTGTTTAAAGCAGAAGAGTCACAGGCTGGATATTTCCTTTAACTGTTGCCAACAAAATCTCTGTCAAGGTTATGTGGAGTCTCAGTGATGGGCTGTTACTGAATTAGATTTGGAATATCTGCAAAAATAGCATTTACACAAAAATGTTGATTTATCATTATGAAAAGTTTTCATTAAAAGGATTGATTCATACAAAATATTTATTTTAATGACCTTCCTTTTCAAACTTACAAACATTTTAAAAAGTTATGAATAAAAATGTTTCATTGTAACTTACACAAACAAAACTTTTTTTCACAGTTCATTAATTTCAGTTAATGAAGAGTTCATTTTTTTTCCTTCAGATTTGGAACAGAACTTTTTTTTAACACAATCTACTGAAATGGAAAAAATATTCCCATCCAATTCTAGTTGTTATTGGTTTCTTGTTAGTCAAAGGCAGTCTCACTTTTTCAGATTACTAGATATGGATTGGCTACTTTTTTTTAAGTTACTTTCCCGTTCAAAAAAATCAGATTTAGGTGTGGGATAATAATCCCTTTGTACATTTTTACTTTTATATGTGATACACAGATCTTCCATATCTGTGCTTGAGATCTGGCATCAGCGAAGCTCCAGATGAGTGTATTTAGAGCTATAGTTGTATGGCAAGCTTAAGGCATTAATGCTAGGCTCCTTTGTTATGATTAATTAACTTAATTCTCTTATTAATGATTTTAGTTTTTAAAATGGAAAGTTGCATTCAGTTTTGATCTTCTTATTTTAGCTAGTTCTGAAGGTTTGACTGTGTTTCTTTTTCTATGCACATCTGAAAACTAAAAAGTCTCTATCAGTATTTCAAGATTTCTTGCCAATACTTTCATTTCTAGCAGTGATCTAAAAATTTACTTCCCTAACTGCCTTTTGCTCATGTGCATATGTAATTTTTTAATGCTTCTCTAGAGTTGCTTCATAATTTTCTTTGCAGTTTTTATCAGCTGTAGGTCTGGTCAGTACTTCAAAAGTTAGCTCTTTAGGACTTCACTGTAATATTGTGGAAAATTGTGTATTTAATACTGGAATATATTGCAAGTAATAAAAGACTACTTCTCAAGTATATAGTTAAGGCTTCTTAAAAGCTTTCTATTTGTAAAAAGGTTTCTTTAGAAAGTTTTGTTATCATGAATTTCAGCTAATAAGGTATAGAGGGAAATGCAGGTGTGTCTGTTCCAGGGCAATGAACGAATGCTGTTTTCCTATGTATACTGAATTTCAATAGTTACTTCAAACATTTGTTTAAAATTCAGAAGTAGTGAATCAGACTTTGCAAAGCCTGATAAACAGTTCTTCTGTGTAATAAGTCATTATGATGCACAACTGCTTGGTTTACATGGGGTACCTTACCTGGGTAAAGTCCTCCCTGTGCAGAGTCTGAGCAAAGGAGCTCTTTTGGAAACTAAAATACATCTTAGTGTTCAGATTTTGTGTTTGATCTTCCCACAAAGATGAATCCATCCTTGTAGAAAGCGGGGAGTGTTGTTGAGGGTGTGTGGATGCAGCAAGTCCAGTAACAACTGCAGAGCTACGGCGTTGGGATCACTGTATGCTGTAATTCTGGACTGGGGAGATAAGTTTTGTTCAGAAACCTGTTTTTCTAAGAGAAGTCTGACATTAAGTAAATAAATCTAAGACTTCTCAGACATGGAAGAATTGACAAAATCAGTTGAAAGTACAAAGAAATGCTCTAGCAATTTTTTATTTACAAAGAGTGAATGATACACAAGTTATTTTCTTTTTTCTTTTTTTTTTTTTAGATTCATCAGATGGAAGTCTAAAAGCTTCTACACATCATGGGGCAATAGATGTTTATATCAGTCAATTAAGGAAAGTGGATCTGAAATCACAGAAAGGTTAGCAAACTAAACCAAGTATTTTCTGTGGAAGTTGTAGATGATGTAGAAGACAAGGCGTAAGGGGTTTTTTTTTGTGTATCTGTGTGGAAAAAATGAGTTTGTGATTGTTGGTTATCTACATTCTTTTTCACCTCATTATTAGGAAATGAACGTAAAGCATCATAATACAATAAACTCTGTAAGGAGCAATGATACTTGAAATGGATTACAGATTATTTTTTTATTTTTCAATACTACCTTTTCTTACTGGCTACCTACCCAACAGAATTCTGCAGAGTTGACTTGAATTACAATCTTCCTTTGTCTTGAGCACAGTTTAGTGCATGGTACTGATATAAGTATGTGCAGAGTGACAACCATCACACGCTTACATTTCTTTTGCATGGTGAAATGTCACATTACTGAAATTGGAAGATAGAAAAACAAAGATGAGGGGGCCTTATCCTACCATTCTTCCTTTTTTCTTGTGATTACTCACTAGAATTTAACTTCTTAGTTAAAAACTCCTAAAGTTGGATTCATAGTTTTGCAATATCATATCTTCTGAATGACAAATAACAAAGCCCTGAATACATCTTGTTAGTCTTAGTTCTGCAAAAGAACAACTACAGCATTTTTATACTTGACTTTAGCATCATGTCAGACACTTAAGGTGGTTTAAATGAACATGGTTATTGGTACCATTTTCTCGACTGTGAGACAATGCTTGTGCCCTTTTAAAACCTATCAGTTACTTGGAAGGGGAATAACAAAAGAAATGCATTGAAATTCCTGGTGTGCCATTCTTTTGTACAAGCTGTTCTAGTTCCATTGGTACAAAAAAATTAATATTATTTCATAGTTACCTTTTGAATCACTTAATACTAAGTTATGTCTCTTTGAATTAGTAGTAAAGAGGGGAATGTATTTAATAAAAGCTAATGCCATCCCTGCCCATGGCACAGGGTCCCTTCCAACCCAAACCATTCTATGATTCTAATTAATGTTATTTTCAAAACATTGCCTGACATCTCTTCTGGCAGCACAGTTTAGTAAAGGCAAAGTTGATGAAGTCCTATTTTCATTTACTCCATAAATTCAGAGTAACTGCTGACAGCTGCAGTGTAGAAAATGTCCCATTCGTGATAAATTAGCTGCATGTGTGTTGGATTTTATGAGTCACATTACTGAGCAACTCTCCAAGGAGGACCCAAAGATGAAGACCTTTTCCCTTTCTTATTCTAAAGCTTTTGTATATCCAGAAAAATTTAGTCCCAAATTATACTAACAGTTATTTGTTCATCAGGACTGTCAGAGGCAAGTGATTCTGCTGAATTGCTTTCTGATTTGTTATAACATCAGTTTTCTTATCATGTTGTGCTTCAGCTTTTGGGGTGTATTTAAATAAACTTTTTTGTTTTCCTAAAGTGAATGCTGGAATTGGGCAAAAACTAAGGAACAGAAAATGCATTCTTGTTTTAATGTGTAGGGTGCAGCTTCCAAACATGGTGACTGAGTCATTCCAAACAGGACTAATGTGGGCAGGTTGGGGGCCCAGCATCTGCTTTCAGTCTGATGCATGGAAGCACATATCTAGGGGAAGCAGAAGTCAGAATTTCTGTTTTTAATCACAAGGGTAGAATTATTTGGTCCACCAAAGCTGCAATTTTGCTAGTAGTTTACTTTTTAGTGTCATCTAAACTGGTTAGTCACTTCTGGGACTGCATCTGTTCAAGGATGTGAACAGCTGACCCTGTGCAGTAAAGCAGAGACAACTGGTAGCGTTACCAGTACGTAAGCGGCATCTCATCGTTCCAGAAGAGCAGTTCTTTCATAATGTGCCAAGCAGTGGCTGGATTAATAATCAAATCCTATCTCCTGTCCTTGTTCAGGAGTGTAGACATGCAACTAGAAGATGAAACTAAAGTAATAATACTTGTGAGATCTATTAGATGTCCTTCCCTTGATGATTCCTGTAATAAGATCCTCTACCAAGAGCAGTCACTAGCAGTATATGTCAATGTCAGTTTTCATGTCTGCCAAGGAAATACTGTGACACTTGTTTTTCTACATGTGACATACAGTATTCTGGCTATGATAAATGAAGATACCTTCATTTATACTTTTGGAGACAAAAAAAAAGGTTACTGTGTCTGAAGGCTCTTAAGAAAAAAAACCCTAACAAACAATTATTTGATTCAAATTAGCTAAGTAATTGCCTGTTTCATGCTTTGATCTTAATGTTAAACTAACTAGCTTTCACTTAAATTTATATCAGGTTCTATTACAGTCAAGGTACCTGCCTCTCTCAAAGCATATTTACAGTTGTGTGGAAGAAAAGTGGATGTGAGCTCAGAGATCCAGTTAAAAGAAACACAGAGTGCCTCCAAAGACGATCACGTAACTCTAAGTGGTAAGGCTTACTAATCTTGGCTTGCAGTAAATGTCTGTCTGGCCTTAGTCAAAGGCATCTACATTTCCTTATGAGTTTATTGCTCTTGGCTTCTTCTTATTTCATCTGTTTCAGTTTCAAATGTTTGCTTGTGCCATTGTACTCCCCATGTTACTAGATGAAACTTTCGTTTTGTTTGGTAAATGACTTGTGAATGCAGACAACCACTTCTCTAACAAAAGTCTTAGAGTCAAATTCATCCTCAGCATTATTCCAGTGAATTTGTGGGAGGTAGTCCATGGCTGAACTTGACCCATTGCTTTGTTGGCTTATTCACATATAATAAATTGTCAGGGAATGTCAGTTAAAAATATAATGAAAAGTTTTCTCTGTCTGTCTCTGTTGGATGGGAGGGGGAATTAAAAGGCATATATGGCATATTTATTAATGTACAGTATAAATGTTAACAGTGCAGGACAGGCTGAGAAATGATGGGTGGGAGATAGCGTAGACGATTAGAGAGTACATGGAAAGGTGCCTGCAATTACTGGAAGCATTCTTCTAATGCATTTGAAATTGAACTTGGGAATCCCAAGTCTTGCTGTTTCCTGCTTTAGAAAACAGTTGTACAATTCATTGTCAGGGCGTGTTTTTCTCTCCTCTCTGGATGTGTCTATCTGGAAGTTAAGGCTGTTGCTGTTACCAATTACTCAGTTTGCTCAAGAGGAAACATTAACATAGTGTGTCTGAAGGCTCCAGCTTTGTTCTTGAACGTGTTGTGTCAGTATGACCTGATATGATAGCAGATTGGGTGAGGCTTTGAGTTTTTCTTTGGTTTTGAACATAAGAAAATATGCACAAAACTTCTTTTCCTTTCCCATATAAGATGATAATCTCAAAGTCAGGAAATGTTAGAAGTGCATATACAGAATCTTAATATGTAGTCTGCTTATGTAAAATAGTCTTGAAATGTATAGGTGTCTCTCTTCCTGTCTTGAACAGTTACTAGCATTTAAATTTACTAGTGCTTATTAAATACAATTTTTTAAAAAAAACTGTGGTTAGAAGTTGTCAGGCTAGAAACCTGTGTAAGGACCCTAGATTCCAGCAAGGCTCTATGGAATGGATCGCCTCAGCAGTAAAACAACATACCTCCCAGTAAATGAGGACTGCTGGCCGGTCGATCATCTTGTTTTTCTGGCAACACTGAAGATAAGAGTGGTGTTTCAAATATACACAGCTGAATGGCTTCTCTGGTTTCATGACCCAGTCAGTGTTTATGCAGGACAGTCATTGCTGAAGCGGATGCAATTTTTCCACCATTCGGTATGGAAATGATCTTGGCAGTTGAGTACAAAAGCGGCTCTGATCAGTTAACCCTCAAATATACATCTCCAAAAGGCACGGAAATCAGCAAGAGTGATGCAGAGGCAACAGCATTAGGCCACTTATTATCAGTTGTTTAAAGAGGTTACAGCATTGCTCAAAAAATTAATTAAACCTAGATCTTAATTGATCATCATACAAGTGAATGAAAAATAGACCCTGGAACAGATTTTCTGCAGGATACAATTCAGCTAACCTAGTGCTGGCCTGAAGAAATGTAACTTCATCTGCCTTATACCTGACATTTAGCTTTGAGTGTTTTCTCACATAATGTAACTAATGATTTGTAGCAGCTCTCTCATCCCTTTTTTTCACTGGTCAGTAAGAAGCAACAAACGTGAAGAGAGATGAACTAGTTGGGTTTAACGTGCTTTGCTCCTTTTCTTATCCTTTTGAAAACAGTGCCTCCCCTTTCTTTGCCAGGTCTGTAACATTTCTTTGGAAAATGGCAAGGGAGATGCTTTCTGCTTCTCCTTCTCTTTACCTTATCCCATGGGGACAGTGTATTCTTTCTGCAAACCAAGCACTTGTTCCCTCATTCTCAACAATCTCTTCTTCTTAAAGTTAAGATTTGAGAATTTTCTTGCACAAGTAGATTCTGAAATAATTAAAAATCATTGAATACTGTTCCTATATCACAAAAACATTATCCACGCGTGGAGTTTCAGGTATAGAGTCTATAGCTGTCCTTGTGCTGCAACTAAGGAAGTATAAAATAGAGAGGGAAGAGGGGTTTTGCCAAGTGGAAAAAAAAACTCTGTATCACAAGAGCACGTCCATTTAGATTTTTATGCTTCTGAGCTCAAAGGTTAGTTTAAAAATAGATTATTTTTCAGAAACTGGACGGTTCTCCTGTGAATAACACGGAACCATCAGCTTTCAGGAAGCTTTACTTGCCTCTGGGAATATTGTGAGAGATGTTAGAGATGAGGCTGGGAAGACAGGGTAGAGTTCTGTGACTTGGGTAAACAAGCACCTAGTCTGTCACCTGCCCCAGGAGAGCTTTTCCTGCTGCTCCTACAGTGGTCATGATGTATGCCATCACCTTGCTTCATGGTCCCCGTTTCCACACTGAGTGGCACAGTCAGTACACTACAGTCCCACAAGCAGTCACATCCAGGGTTTTGTGTGGTAGCCAAGGAATAGAGTGGGATTTAGCCAAAACAAGAAGATGAAAGCCTGGAGTGAGTGCTCTAGAGGCAGAGTGATGAGAGTGTGAAAAGGTGTTTTGCCCTTTTAGAAAGGGAAGGGTCTTTCCTGCAGATCTGGGACACTCGCCGAGAAACGGAAGGAGCTAGAGAGCAGTGCCAGGGAGTTTACTCTTCAGAGTGATTTGCAAGGATAAGGCATCTGTTTCCATTGACAGCAGTAGGCACTCTTAGAAGTAGTATGTATGGTATAATGAAATCTGTTATAAAATCAGATTTTTTCATGCTAAACGCTGGTCCAGCTTCCATCTCTGAAAGCATTTGTTCGGCTGTCTAGTTTGAGAGTGCTTGAGTAACTCCAGTAATTTCTGATGGCAATCTTGTCAAGGCTTGCTTTTCCTTTCCCTGGCAAAGAGGGTAGGAAGAAAGGATTCTGCTTAGCCTGTCTGTGCCTTCCCGTGTCTCCAGGTCTGCCTGTATTAAATCAGCTGATTTAAGAAGCTTGTAGAGATCGTTAACTATATATCTCTAACTATATATGGTAAGAGGAAGGGTAGCAGGCTAAAAAGTGTCAAATACTCAAGCAGAAAAGGAGCTTAGGAGACTGTCATGTCAGAGGGGTTACAAACATGTTGAAGGGAAGGGTTAAAATTCAAGTAATCTTGATTTACTTGCTTTTTAGGCCATTTTTCCAGCAAGTCCTTTTAAGTTCAAAGTACAAAGGTAGGAATAATGACCTGTGTGGTTCCAAGAGGAGGAATATTTCAATAAAAACATCAGTAAACAGGAAACAATACTGTTACACAGTTGGGAAAAGTAAACAGTGTATTAACATGACAGTCCTGGAAAACTCAAAATAATCCCTTGACTTTACATGGCATTAATAACACTTTGCTGGAAGGTGTCCAGTTTTGAGTACTGTACCTCAGAAATGATGTGGACAACTGTAGAGACTCCAAAGGAGAACATACGATCAGAGGCCTAAAAACATGATTAATGAGGGAAGACTGAAAAAAGTGGTGTTTTTGTCTAAAGAAGAGAAGACTGAGGGAAGATAAGACGCACTTTTCCAGTATGTAAGAAATTGCTGCAGAGATGAAAGAAATAAATTGTTTTCTGTCCTCTGGTGATAGGCCTAGGAATTATGATTTGACCTTACGATAAGGAAACCTTAGCTAAATTGTAAGATAAACTTTCTGGTAGAAAGCACTTGTCTGGCGAGGCCATACGACTGTCAGTACTGCAGACTGTGAAGAACAGGCTAGGCAAGCATGTCCGGTTAAATACAGTGCAGCCTCAGGACCTCAGCATCCTCAGGAGGTGGCCTTCAGCCCTGTTTTCTCTTGTCTGAAGCTGATGTGATCATCTGCTCCCACCCACTCCTCAGTAACTCAAAGCAAGGTTATGAGGCATGTGGGTGGAAGAATTTGAGGACTAAATGAATGCAACCAGTGGGCACGCTTCCGCCCACTTCCATTGCCAGCTTGTGTGTTTGACAACTGTAAACTTGCTGGAAAAAGTCTTGCAATTGTTCAGAGACTTTATTTGGATCCTTGCAGTTGATGGTGTCGATTTCCAAATCTAATTGTCTGGAATATAACCCCTTTCTTTACCACCAGAGTCTTGCATCTCTGGTGCTGGGGACTCATCTGATTCCAGATCTTTCTCCATCCCTGGCCCCAGTTCTAGTGCCAAGTTCATATCCAGCAGCAACCTTTGACCCGATGTGATCCATCTGGTTGGTGCCAAGTGAGCTTTTAACTTTGGCAGTCACTTACTCCATCTGGTTTTTAGCACTTGCGTGAGTTTCCTCGGTAAAAGTCCCACAGTGTCACAGATGCTCCTGAGAGGCTGTGGATATTTGTCTTTGCAGATTATTGTTTCCCTATTCGTACTTTCACAAGCTGGCAAACCAACCTGCTTGTATTTTGCTGTCCTCTTTGAACATGCTCTTTGGGAATTATTGTCTTCTCCCAGGTTGAGACATTCTTCCTCCCTATTTCATCCAGCGCGACAGTAGTTGCAGCAGCAGTTAACAGGGTTTTTAGCTTTTGGTACTAATCCCACCCCAACTACAGTACTAGAGCTTTGCTGAGCCACATCTGAACAGTGATCCTCTCAGAGCCATGCCTTCTGGTGAACACGCACACAGGTAACAGGGCTCTCTTTCACATTAACTTATCCCTTCCCTTAGATGTCTATCCTGACAATGAAGAGGAATCTCCTGTTGTCTTCTCTAACCCCTTTTCTTCTGTGAAAGTTTCCAGATGTTGTCTCTACCTTATGGGTTGATCCAGCATCCAGGTATTCTTTTTGATCACTAGGAACTCCTTAGATTGCCTCCCTCCTTGCATGCTTCTGGAGAGAGTCAGCCAGTCTAATTACCAGATTCCCTTGGAAAGTTGGACATTGATACCACTGTCCTATCTCTGACTTTTCAGGTTTCTCTTAACTTCAATTCTTTCCACCTGTCTGGTTCTCCAGGTAGATTGTGGTGAGAAGCACCTTTCTCCTGACAACAATCATTCACTTAAGCATGCACTGAGATAATAGGACTTTGATGTATGCCTGAGGTTAGATCTGGATTCTCCTCTGGAACGTAGGGGATTTAGAGATGTGTTTCCTACCTTCAGGAATAACTCGTTTCTCACTGCTCACACAGTGGCTTCTCATCCAGTAGTCCTGGGAGAGTGGCCTATCAAGTGCTGTGGGCTTACCCTGTAGGATTTCTTCAAAGCCAGTGTGCAAGGAGCGAGCTGACTGCATGAGTCTCACAGGCTTAATGGATGTGTTGAACTGCTTTTGTTATCAGAACTTCTATATTGTTTACTTTAAGGCAATGTCTGTGGGTTTTAGCTGCCTGGAGTGCCAGGGTTAAATACAAATGCAGCTGAAGGGGCAATGACTAACGCAAGGCAAGCAACTTGCCTTTAAAAGGGAAATAACTGCAAGAGCTTGTATTATGGCAGTCTGCTGAAACTTACGTTTCTTCTGAAACTTAACAGCTGTCTGCATGTAACACTCCTCCCGTGGCACAGCTGGCTTGGGTCTGTTGCATTCGGAGTCATGGTTCTGATCCCAGCAGTAACACCAGCCGCTGCTGTGTCCCTCCCTGTTCCCTCTGTTCTCAAGGCACTTCTTCAAAACCTCCCTTCTTTCCTAGAAGCTATTTTTATTGACTCTTTGCCACTAGAATTGAGTGGGAAGGGCTTTGTTTTACAATTTTATAGTGTCCCTCTAAACACTGTCCCTCTGCGAAGCCTTGATCGTTAAGCAGTATCTTAAAAAAACAAACAAAGACCCAGGTTGTATCTGGAAAATATTACATTCCTTCAAGTCAAATAGAAAGTTCATCCAACTTTTAGAAAAGACATTAGATGAGATGCTATCCTACAGATTTTTATTGGTTTCAGCTTGCTTTTAACTCAAACTATTTACAGCCTTTTTGAGATACACCTCAGTCCTAACAATACCAGTGGAAAACATTTAAAATATACTCATCTTCTGTGTTTTATGATATGAAAAAAGAGCTCTCTATTCACTTGCCTTCCTCGAGACTGGAGAAGTTAAACAGTCCGTACTTCACGGCACAATGTTCTGCAAAGGTGTTCTCTGCCTTTAGACACTCATGATAAAAAAAACTCCACAACTTTTTCCTGTGCATTAAATTGAAAAAGTGTCCACGCAGCATAGGGGCGCATCTGTCTTCTCCGGCTCATGCTCTTGTCTTCACTGGTGGGTTTTGAAATGAAAATGATTTTTTTTTTCTCCTTTCCTTATTCTCAACCCACCAGGCTGTTGTCTTTTGTGATTTAACCATGCTAGCGAAGTCATCCTCAAAATCCACTTATGTTCCCACAGTATTCACAGTACAGGCAGTCAGTACAGTTAAGACCAAACTGTCAGCAAAAGGTCTCCAACTAAACCTTGTTGCTTGATTCGTGCCTTAACACAAAGCTATTTAAATATCTTAAGCTTGATTTGAATCTGCTACTGGCAGTAAGCTTAAAAACTTTAAAATAGTTTGAAGGTCTTCATCCCTAGGGAGTGGAACTTGACACTGACTTTCCTGCAGGCAGTTTGATATTCTCTGCATTCCCTTCACAGGCAAATCTCCAAAAGAAGCATAAGGAACAAAAAATTTTAAGTTCACATAGCAAATACAAAATGAGAAACAGAGCTCAGACAACAACTGAGCTTTAAAACAGCTCTGTTAATTTGTTTCTGTGTTTCTTCAAAGCTCCTCTTTAACTTCTTAGCAAAAGTGTAGCAGGATATAGGTAGTGCATGGAACTTCATTTACAGGGCTGAGTCTGTGCTTTAGTGTTTGTTCCTTGTACAGAGGTACAAGCCATAGTGACAAAAACATGAGAGAGGAACTGGGACCAAGCACCCCAATATGCACTTTCTGGAAATATATCTCTGCCCTATATTTATTGTGTCCTCTCTCCTTAGAAAAAAAGCGCTGTACTTTCAGTGCTCTACAACTCTGTTAAGGGATCAGCTGAAATATTCCTTTATACTTATTTGTGGGTTCATTTTTTGACACCTAGAGGCGATTTCCTGTTTAAAATTCAGAGTGATCTAAAGTTGTAAGGGCTACAAGGATAGATTTTTGGTTTAGTTTCTCTTCTGTATTCTCTGATACAGTACTATTGCAAATTCAGGAAAGCTTTGTGATGAACTGAAGTTTCAGGTTTTAACAGATTTCACATACAACATATTTTTCCAACTTCATGATGATCATCGTAGATTTAACTCAATAATTAGATGAGGAGAAGAACTGTGGATTCTGCCTTACAGTAGGAATGACATTGAGATTGAGTGTGATTGAGACTGCTGCTGCCTGGAGCAGTCAGGAATGCAGAAATTGTATTTGGACATCCACATGGAGATCTTTGAAGGCATGTTGTAGTCTGATAACAAAGGACACTGAAATACTCTTCATTCAGTGGGAGAACTTCATCAGTGTTGGACTCTTCTGAAAATCCTGTGCTTCTAAAAAGTACCTCAGCCTGCTAGTGAATTGATGTGGGTTTGGCCCATAACCCTAAATTAATCCTGCACAGAAGAACCAAAGCACTGAAACGCTATTGAAAAGTTCTGGCGCACAGGCTTGAGTTGTGGAAACCGACACAGTGATGTCAGTTGGAGTTCCGCCACTGGTTTTGACGTGGCCAAAATTTAACTTCAGCTGTGTTACAGGTCAGAGCAGAGCATGTTTGCAAATTGCTTCAGAATCTGCTTCCCTGCCATCCCTCATGCTATTCCAGGCTCAAATTAGTTCTAAACTTAGAAACCACTTAATCACACAAACACTAAAATAATAGTAAAAGATATTTTGTAAAGATAAACCCAAGTGAAGGTTGATCTTGTGATAAAGGCACTGATTTGGGGCTTAAGAGATGACAGTTGAATTCCCAATTTGGTCATAAATCTTCTGTATAAGTTTGGAAGGTCACTTACACTCTCTTGGCCTCCCTTTCCTAGTTGTAAAATGAGGGTAAGTTGAACTTTTTCCTTTGTCTATTATACAGCAAGCTGTTCAGAGTATTACAATGCATACTAAGTTTTTGTGAAACATGTAAGACAGACAGACATCTCAGGGTGGTTCTCATAAGCTATCATAAGAAAGCAGTAACAGTAGCAACATGTCTGGTCATCTGGAAAATCAGGTCTTACTCATGTCTCTTTTCCAAGTTTACAATAAAGATGAAAACTTTTCAAATTACTTAGCCAGATTAATGTCTAATGTAGACATATTTACTAGGTCATAATAAAAACTACAGTACTATATAATAAAACCCACAACTTCATTGTAATAATATATTATGGGAAATGAGATTAATGCAGAAAACTATATCAAGAATGAAACGTCAGAAGCCCTTGTTAAAAATATATAAATTGTACCACATAAGTCTTCAGTATTTCTAGGGAGCTTGAAAAAAGGTAATATGGAGACAATATGTTTACTGTGTATGAAGTTAAACTAAACAGAACTCTCTTTTCCAGGTCACATGAATCAAAGGAGTGAAACAGACAAATGGATTAAGGCTGACACACAGAATGGCAAAGTGTGTCTTAAAAGCCAAAGCTGGATCCAGTCTGTCAAGCTGAAGGGTTCTTAAAGGTGAAATAGGCCAAAGAGCTTAAACCAAGAAATTGTACAGGAACATTTATGTAAAATTATGAAATTTTGTTGATGTATATTCTTAATATACGAGAGAAGCAATATTAAAAAATGGGGGTGTTTTAACCTAAGATTTGCCCATGACAGTGGCTGGTGCTTAACAGGTCTGGTTTACTTTTAGTGCTGTTTCGGAATGACAAGAGCTTGTATATTCAGAATTTGTATAACTTGACCCACTTACCACATCAGTTTAGAAGCTGGTAACTTTCAAACAAAAGTTTGGAGTCGTCATTTAAAAATAAAAAGCATTTTCAACATCTGGTATTTGAAAATATGTACCTTTACTTACAAGATTACATGCTCTGCAAGCTATTTTATATTTTTAAATTAAATGTCTCAGTACTGTGGGAATTCCAGTAGTTTATGCAAAATGCAGAGAATTGCAACCAAATTATTTGCACTGTGGATAGGGTAAAATCACTTTCATAACTGTAGTTCTTATTTGGTGTTCTTGTTCAGTGTTTGACCCCTAAGCAGTTTCTGCTGTGTCAATGGATACTGTATGTGTAAAACTGCTTATATGAAATGACAGAACTCACTCCGTGTCATTCTGAACCACTTCCTTGGGGATAGAAATAAGAACTCTAGCTATGTCTACCACTGTTTGTCTGCAAAGAAAAGCTTTTAAAATAAATACTCAAAAGTGTAATGGGTCTGGCTGATTTCAAGGAGGAACACTCCACCAGCTGGACGTCAGATAAGAGTCCACATGAACATTCCCTAAAGTAAAAGCTACCAAAGAATGGAAGTATTGGGCTAATTATTTGCTACACTTCAGTCACTTACTGTTCAGCCCTGCATGACGGGACTGTAAGCTCTTTGAGGCAGAAAGGCAGAGGAGGGAGGTGAGGGAAGCGTGCATGCCCTGCACAAAGGCATACATGATCTTTGTGGAGGATTTTGTGTTACTGGAATACAAACACACGGTAAAGTAAATGGAGCTTTTAAAAGCCTTTCCATACATATACATGGTACCTTATAAAAGAAGTACTGAAATTTGTGTTTTAAAACTGAGATGTAAGAATTCCTGCCAACTGAGTGGACAGAGAGTAGAAAAGAGGAGTTTGGTGTGTCAGCTCAGGTTTTAAGTTGTGTATATGTGTGTATGTACTTCAGATCATAATGGTCCATTATGAAATGAACATGTCCTTTCCCACAGGATTCCCCAAGAGGTATAAGTGCCCCTGGCTGATGGACTTCAGTAGTCAAGGGAGCATTTTAGCTATAATTCAGGGTGGTTAAAAACTCCCCATTCTGTTTGTCACTGTGTGTACTGTTTGTTTGCATGAGGTGGGCACTGATGTTTATGGCAAATTATATGTATTTTTAATATAAACACTAATCCATAAAGTGTTACTATCATTATTACTAAAAGCAATATAATATTGCTAGTTATTAGTAATTATTGTACTTTTGAAAGATACAAAATTAATAAATGTGTAAGGGTTTTAGATTTCCTGAAAAAGTTTTGAAACTAAGGATTTCTGTGCACTGCTGAAGATAAAGTGAAAGAAACACGTCTACATTCACATTGCTTTGAAAAATAAACACAGTGTAGTAGATATTTCACAAGATCGAGTCCATCTCATGGTTCCACTATTCACCTGGAATACAAAGCCTGTCAGCCTCCATGATTAAGGTTGTGCTTTTTGGGACTGCTGCAGCAGCAATTTAAGGGAGAACATAGTGAGAAAACGTGTTATTTCTTCCGCATTCAAAGGAAAGCAAGCTAAGGCTTTCATACTCTACAACTAGCTGGAATTAAACATTAGGATTGCTAGTTACTTGCTTAAAGTAGTTTAAATGAGCCATCAGAAAAATTGTGCTACCACTAAAGCTACTCGTGATTATATTCTTTCCAAGCTAATAAATGTTGAGACCAGCTAGAACTTTGACATAAAGGTCAAAAATGAGCTGAAGAAAGACAAATCTTTGGGAGTTCCCCCAAAGGCACTTGAGTAATGTCTTGTTCTGCTATAATGAGGTGAAACTTTATATTTTTTTCTAGACAAGGAAAGATCAGTCGGTTATCAGTAATTAGTATTTGAATAGCAAATCCCATATGTGCTTATTTTTTTTGTCCACTTGATGAGAAGATGTTTTTGTAACCGGAGAAAATTTATCCTTTAACACTTTTCTCATCTGTGCTTCTTTTCATTTGATTTTCCTGACTTGTGTCAGCTGCCAGACAGCCTGCAGTTCAGATCTGCAAATGTAAACATCAGTTCGCTTAGAGAGTTGAATTGAGACGTAGAGAACTGTGCTTAAATGTGCACGTAGAGTTGGGTATTAAGGAATGGGCAGTTACTATAGTCACTACCTATTTGCTGTTCTTCGTTGCTCAAGAACACAGTACATGATGAGCAGCAGCCCTGTCAAGTGTGAACTTCTGTGGGAAGTCAAGAGTGTTTATGTCCTGGAGAGGACCTTCATTGCAGACAAGAACCCCAAACACATGCAGATTTATTTATTGCTTACACTGCATGGGACTACAAAAACTTCTCATTATTGGAAGATGAAGACAGTTTGAATCACCATCTGAAAGTTAGCAATGTTGTTTCAGTGCAGCTGTCTTGCTTGAAGGCATACACACTCCTGCGAGAAAGATTTGCAGTGCTTCCTTACTAATTAAACAAAGGGCCTTTTATTAAACTATGATTAGTTTTAAGAAAAAGAATATAGTGTTCTTTTTATGCTCTAGTGAAAAACTCTTGAACTGTAGAAGATGTTGCACAATTTCTTCATTTTTCATTTTGAAGAATTTGTTTTTTCAGGCTCTGATGTGTGTTTTTCGGTGAAGGTGAATATGTTACCATCCCGGTCATATCCAAGCCAGGAAGGAGGGTCAGCATCGTTATGTTCTTGTTTCTCCAGGTTGGCTGTATATTTCAAGACAGCTTGTCTGCAATAAGAGTTAAAAAAAAGAAATGCCAAGTTAAAAAAAAAATTGCAGAGGCTGCTTCTACAAAGATCACTAAAAGCTGTTTAGTGAGCAAAAGTTCCTTCTTTTAACTGAAGCTATTACTATTATAAGAGGTGTTGTGGAAATTACAAAAATAAGGTCATTGGTTAAGCCATAGTGTCACAGGTTAAAATAGGTTGCAAGGGGCCTCTGGAGATCTTTTAATCCTTGTTTTGCTCTAAATGGATCCAACTAGACCAGGTGGATCATGGCTTTGCCAGCTGAGTTCATAATATCCCTAGAGGTGAAGGTTGCACGGCCTTTCTGGGATCTTGTTCAAGTGTTTGACCAGCCTCCTGATTAAAAAATAGTCTCTTGTATGTAATCAGAACTTTGCATATGCCACTTGTCCTATCAGTGCACCTTTGAGAAAAGTCTGGCCATGTCTTCTCTTCTGTACCCTCTGATCAGAGTTCCAGACAGCAACAAGGTCCCCTCCAGCCTGAGCCTCCTCTTGTGACTGAGCAACGCGATTCTCTCAGCCTGTCTTTACACATCACGTGCTCCAGCCCTTTCGTGGTCTTGGTGGCCTTCGTCTGCACTTGCTCTCTAGTGTGTCAGCATCTGTCTTGACTGTGGAGCCTAGAACACAGATCTTTGCACCTGAGTAGGCAATGCCATTGGAACGATAGCATTGTGTTTTGAAGAAAACATAACACCAAACAGGATAAATACACCCGTTACATCAGAAGATATCAGTGTCTCCAGAGTGGTTTTTCATAGCTGTATAGGAAAGCTATAGGAACTGTGCAGATCCCTGTCTCTAGTTTTTTCTTTGAACGGTCTCTGCAGCACCTCCAAGTATTTTTTACCCTTTCCTGGTTCACCTTTTTGGCTAACCTCTCCACTCGTAGCTAAAGTGTATTGTTTCTGCAGTGGAACTGACTATACAACGGGCAGTGTTACAGAGCCTTGCCGTTACCCGCACTGGCCCCCGGCTTGCCCAAGGCTGTGTTTTGCAGCTTCTGGGACAGCTGAACCAGAAGATAATTGCTTTTATGTCCAAAAACACCCATGACCCCCCCGATCTCCCTCAGCATTTTGTGGCCACTGGTCCTTCACAGCAGAATGAACTGGAGCAAAATGATACAGAAACAGGAGAAACTCAGGCCTGCTGCGTGAGACACCCTGAAAAGAAGTTGAAGAGCAGCAATCCCTCCTTTCCAGGCAGTATCAGTCTGGCAACTTTCATTGCCTTCCTGAGCTGAAGAAACTGAACCTGCCACTTTAGGTCTTTTGAGGGTCTCTTTCTTTCCATCATTTCTGCGATGTACCTGGCTGTCAGCCAGCTCCTGGCTGGGCAGAGCACCTGCCTCCCCCATCACTGGCTCTCGCACTCCAGAAAGCTGCCCCGGGCTGAGCGTACTCCTGTGCTTGCTGGGGAAGGCCAGCTCTCTGCATCTCATCCTCTCCAGGAGATTCAGCCTGATCTGGTGTGTCACAGCCACAGTCAGATAGCCTTCCTCCCTGCCGGACAACTTCCTAAGCTCTGTAACAGAGTATCATATATGGCATCTAAACTATAATAGAAAAAAGCCCCAATTAAAGTGGTCTGTTATCTGCCAGTAATGCCCTACAGCATTAGTAATGTTGTTGGGGGTTTTTCCCAAAGTGAAGATGCTGAAGATGGTTACCACAGAGGCAGACATGCACAGCTGTAACGCTTGCGCCACCACAGCGGGAAAGGGGAAGCCAAGAGAGTGCAAAAGAGACAAAATTAGTGAAGCGAGGAGGGCTCCTTTTTAACCGCTGCAGGATATTTTTTTAAAAAATCTAACACTGACGCACTGTGTGAACGACATGAACACAAGGCTGTGTCTGTTTTTATATTAGGGAGGCCTGTGCCATGGAGGAATGTGTGCACAATTTATATGAGCTATAAGCTCTAAGCTATAAAATAAAAATCAACACATCCAAGTCCAAATTCCTGTTTTTCATGGAAACTGCAATGTATGGCTGCTGTCTGAAGCATGTATAAGGGTAGTTGTTACTATTTCTTTGGAAACTTATGCTGTCCCATGCCTGGAGCTACAGTTGATCAGTTTGCCAGAAACAGACATTCGTTAATCATCAACACATGGCAAAATATATCGTTTATTTAAGATATACTCTACTATGATAGACCCTACTTATTTCTTTATATAATGTCTTAAATGAGCACACTGACCCATAAAAGCA